CTCCACCCCTTCACCAAGTCTTCTCGCTGAGGAGATCCGCTTGACGCTCCGGCTTCGGCACCTGCACCTCCGCACGTCCCGACGTCCCTCCCCAGCTCTGCCCTCCCACCGGTCTACCCACGTGTGGTGCCGGTCACCAAACTGTCAACCTCTTCCTCGCCTACCGTCATCTCCTCTCCGCTACCGGCTGCGGACACCCTCTCTTGTCCCACCGCCGACACCCCGTCCACGTCGGCCGCCGACGATGAGGGGAGACATGACACGCTACCTTCGGCGCCGTGCATCGGCATCGTCGACGGTCGACCTACCGCATCTTCTGAGAACGGCGCACCTGGTATGCAAAAACAGGCAGGGGAGCACATGACACGGGAGCAGTGGACAGGGGAGCAGATCAGCGACAGCACGTCGAGCGACGTTGTGGAGGTCATCGGCGAAGCTGCAGGGGAGTCATCTGGAGACAGTTCTTCGAGCGATGTGGTGGAAGTCAAGCTGCCAGCATGGCACCCCACCCGTTCCAACTTTGGTGTGCCTCCAAAGAAGTGGGCCGATGTGTGCCCGGTATTTGCTAACACACTTCTTGATGACGCAAATGCGGACACCACGCTGCCAGAACTGGATCCCGACATGCACGCTGACCTTGAACGACGGTGGGACATCTCCACAATGACCGTCAAGGAAGCACTCGCGAGCTGGAAGGGGAAGGCGGTGAAGGCAGCAATGGAGGAGGAGATGCGCAACCTTCTTGCCAATGGAACATGGGAGCTGGTGCCTCGACCGCGCGGCGTCAATGTCATGAAGAACCGGTGGGTTCTTACGACAAAGTACAACGCCAACGACATGGTCGCCCGCAAAAAGGCACGTCTCGTTGTAAAGGGATTTACGCAAATCTATGGCACGGATTACGAGGAGACGTATTCACCAGTCGGCAGCTACGTTACGCTACGCATTTTCCTCTCTATCATTGCGGTACTCGATCTGCACGTCATGCAGCTGGACATGAAAAACGCATACCTGCAGAGCAAGTTGGACCGAATTCTATATATGGAGCAGCCGGATTACTTCAACGACGGTACATCTCGCGTATGCAAGCTTCTGAAAAGCTTGTAGACTTAAACAGAGTCCCCTGCTGTGGTATTCGGCACTCGACATCGTACTCATTGGCGGCGGGTGGAGCAAGAGTCAAGTTGACGAAGCGCTTTACTTCAAGTTCGGTGCTGATGGAGCCGGTTGCTGGCTGCTGGTGTACGTTGACGATTTGCTCGCCGCAAGTAGCAGCCTCGAGATGCTGAAGGACCTTCGTGAGCTTCTGCAAAACGCATTCGAGCTGCGGGAAATCACTCCCGTGTAGAAGTATTTGGGGCTGGAGATAGTACGGGACAGGTCCGCGCGCAAGCTGTGGCTGCACCGAAGCGCATACGTGGACAAGCTGCGTCGCCGCTTTGTGGACAAAGAGCAAACAGGTCGCCGCCCGAAAACGCCTATCTCGGTCGACGCGTACACCGAGTTGACGTTTGACGACGAAGAATACCAAGTGCGTGAAGAGGAGTACCGCCAGAAAGTGGGTTCGCTCCAGTTTGCCGCGACCACGACCCGTCCCGACATTGCGTATGCATGCAGCAAGTTGGGCTCGGGGTTGACGATTCGCAGTGACCAGCACTGGAGGGAGCTGGACCACTGCACTGACTACGTGGTGAACACCCGTGATTTCGCCCTCGAGTTTGGTGGTGGACTGGATACTCTGCGCCTGGTGGGGTATGCAAATTCCGATGACGCGGGTGACAGGCAGACTCGCAGCAGTACCAGCGGATACGTTTTCGTGCTTGGCGGAGCTGCGGTTTCGTGGGCAAGTCAGAGGATTTAGTGCATGACGCTATCCTCAACGGAATCCAAATACATTGCTGCAACGGAGGCCGGCAAGGAGGCGCGTCGTTTGCGCTTTCTTCTCGCTGAATTTCAGATTCTCGATGCTAGAGTGCCAACCGTCATCCACGTGGACAACTCATCTGCGATTGCGGTTGCGGAAGGGTTGGGGCTTAAGGGGAGTCTCAAGCACATGGAGCGGCGGTACATTTGGCTGCAGCAGATGGTGAAGCGCAAGAAGATCGCGCTTACGTACATCCCAACGGGCGAGCAACCCGCGGAATATCTCACGAAGGCGCTGCATTCCCCGGCATTCAAGCGCTGCTTTGTCGCTGTTGGGCAAGTTGATCTTGCAGATGATGCGCATGACAACGCGCAGGAATAGGTGCCATGTCCTTCAACATGGCTGGTGCGGTGAGTATGCGTGTGCGGAAAACACGCGGACGAGTTTCAGAATCATTACCCTGTTGTACTCTATTATTTCCTTTTCGCTTTGTGTGGTGTGCTAACTCCTCAGTTGCCCAGGCACGAGCAGGGTAGGGGAGTGTTAAGGTGAAGCCCTGCACGCGCCTGGTTTTGCGTGTAGCAGCCCTATGCGATGTAGCGAGGTTTCGCATTCCGCATACCGGAGCTTCGGTATTCGCCGAGTACACTCCAATCTGTGCACTTTGGTATGCACTGTTCAACACTGAACCGAACTGGAGGGAAGTGACGACATTGCACAAACGAGTAGGTGCAGGTGTTTGTTGTGAGCACCTGCGCAACTACTTCTGGGCAGGTAGAAAATGCACCTGACGGTATTTTCACCTGATGGTGTTTTCACCTGGCGGTGCCAACCTGGAACCGCATACTAGAGTAGGTGCTTGCACGTTCTCCTTGAACAACGTTCTTTTTGGACAACGTTCTTGTAGAACGCTCTCGCACATGTCACTATGTTTCCTATAAGGTTCATATTGTATCTGTTGTAATCTATCAATTAATCAATTACTTTCCTTTTGTTACTGGATACCAACCCTATTCCTGCATACCAAGCATACTGTTCTCCAAAGACCAGTATCCAGTTTCCAGCAAGTCCGTACACGGAAAACTCGCACTTCACTCTCTGATCATGCAACTCTGCGCCTAGGCTCTCCCACAATCGCCTATTCTCCGCACGGTCGTCACAGGGTTACACCTTCAGCCTTGGCTCCAGCTCTGTTTTGTGGCGGTTTAATTGCTCGTCTTCTGTTCTCAGCTCCAGTTGTGAGGCTGAGATCTACGCAGGGGCCATGGCTGCACAGGAGTTACGCTGGCTCACCTACCTGCTGGCTGACTTGGAAGAACCGCCTCGTTCTCCTCCAGCTCTGTATGTCGACAACAAGGCCATGATTGCCTTGTGTCAGGAGCACAGACTGGAGCACAGAACGAAGCACATTGCTTTGCGCTACTTCCTTGCGCTAGAGTTGCAGCAACGTGGTCTGCTTTGTCTTGTTTACATGGCCTCTCAGGCCAACACTGCTGATATCTTCACTAAGGCACTTTAGCCTTGCAATCATCAGCGTTTCTGTACTTTTCTAGGCCTTGTGCCTACTTTGCCTCACTTGCTCACTTCTAGACTTTGCCTGTACTGTGATCTATGTACTTATATCTGCATGCTTACACTTGCTAGGTTGTGATCACTGTACTGCTTGTTCTCCTATATATATAACTCAGCATGTGAACTGGCCTTGTGGCCTTTTGCTTGTGCTCGTAATGCGTGGTGACTTCGTGATCCACCCTAAGCTTGCTTTGCCTTTCTTGACTGGTCTTGTGACCTCTTGTTCTCCCCCACTTTGCCTATGGGGGTGTATTAAACTTATTTGCTACTTATTGTGTAGGCTGTAGTGGGGTAGCCCATATGGGGTACAACCCAATCAGTGTTTTCTACTTGTACCCATCCTGCTGCTACTTCATCCATTCCTGTTCGTTATTCTGACTTGGGCAACAGTCGGCATGTGGTCGACTTGGGCACTTGCGCAATGTGCCTGACAAAGCAACCGCCGACTAGCACCTACTTGATAGGTGTGCACATGTGCGCACGTGAACACTTGCGGCTGCAAGGCACGCCGGTCATTGTGCTGCAGTTTTCGCAGGCCGGCCTAGTGCAACGCTGGCAAGCCGCCTCCCAAGCTGCGTTGGCTGGCCGCCAACTTGGAGCACTAGCAAGCTGTCCTTGTGCTGCTCGAGGACGACTTGCTAGGTTGCTGATGCATTCTGAAGAATTCACTTTCCCATTGTCATTGTTCCATATTGTTCTTTCTAATCCTTAGTGAAACTCTTGCCACTTTTCCCAGTGAACACACAAGCAAGCAATGCATTGATCAGCAGTACAACCCCATAACCTCCCACATAGTCCACCAGCTACCATACAACAACTCAGCAAAGTGTTTCGCATAACTGTTCGGTAACTGCGTTTTCCAAAGAGGACGTTTGACGAAGGTTTGGCCAGTCCTTCGCCACCCTAAGAAGGGTGCCATATATTCGCCCGTGCCCTTGAGAATTCTGACGCCCTCGCTTGCTTCCACAGTTTTCTCCCTTACCTCGCGTCACGCTTGAATGGCCCAGCAGACCTTTCATGACCCCAGACAATGTCATTTGCTGCTATCGCCTCGCCACCGTCCCACTTCGCTATGTCCCCTCGAATGTTCCTTTGGTCCAGCCACACACCACTCCAGCACAGGTTAAGTGCGGCATTGTGGCCCTGCCCCCCACACGCGTATTTACGAGTTTAGGGCTTTGGTCGTTGGAATTCGCGTTTGTGTTTATCGTCGCTGGTGTATGAATGACGGAATCCGCTCTTTGCGTGCCTCCACCGTACCGCACACTACGGCGACCCAGCCTCCTCTCATTACGCCCGTTCGTTTGAATCGCCAGGTCAGTTGCTGCCGCATTCTGATTCGTCGCCTTCGTCGCACGCTCATCGTCGTTCTCATGTCACCCCCCTTGCCGAATCGCCCGTCGAGCCACTCTTGCTGACCTTGTTGCAATCATTCCCAATGCTCTAGTCGCCTTCTGCGTTTCACGATACCTTATCTGTAGTCTGGCCTCATCAAGTTCGTCCCGAATCCAAGCCGCTCCCCTCAAGCGCGCAGATGATCGGGGTCGAGGCGCCCCGACATCAGATGATCAGCAAGCGCCGAATGCGGGGCGTGGTGATTTTGCCACCCATGAAGCACATCAAGATCAAGCCGGCGCGCATTGTCAGCGTCGACGTGCCTGGCGGGAAGGCTCTTGTGGGGGAGGTGATATCTGGGCAGGATGTTGCCGCCATTGACGTGTCAGTTCTTGGTTGGGCCGTCGCCGTGCCCCAGTCGCTCATCTGCCTGTTCCCTCCGCCACCGCACGAGGCACCGCTCCTCGCGGCCACCGCATCCTCCGCCCCTGTTCCGCCGTGCGCACCCCCTTGCGCTTATTTCCACCGACGCCTCTCCCCACCGCTGCCCTCCGCCGAGCTTTTAGGAGCTCGCGGGCGCGCACTCCCCATTACAAATGCGTGCGGCAGTGCAAGTGGGGGCGGTGGGTGTCGGAGATCCATGAACCATGGAGCCGTTCATGCATCTCACTTGGTTCATACTCGAGCGCCGAAGAGGCAGCGCGCGTGTACGACATGGTGGCGCGGATGCTGCAATGCGATGCGACGGGGAGTCTCAACTTTCCCGACAGCCGTCAAGATGTGCCGCTGCCGCCCGCCACCGCTGAGTTAGCGGAGGTAGCATCAGGAGGTAGCGGAGGACGCGGCAAAGGTCCTTCCATGTCTACTACTACAACGAGAGCTAGACTACGGGGAAGGCACGGTTGTTAGAGTAATCGTAGCGTTCCTTGTGTTCTTTAGCACTTGCGTGTTCCCGGGGCAAAATGGCAAGAGTTTCACTAGCAAGAGAATAACACAATGATAGCAACAACATTTGCAACAACGACTACATCAAACGCTATCGCGCAAGCAGGTTGACCTCCAGCGCAGGCTGGTCGACCGCATTCTAGCGCTGCAAAGTCCGCACCGCTCTAGCATTGCAGAAGCGCGACTTGCCAACGTTGCAAATCGGCAGCGTGCCAGCGCTGCAGCAAGGCGGCTGCACAGTGTTGCACCCGCATGACAGCAGCGCACCCGCTTCGCAGGTGCTCGCAGTTGGTTGGCGTGCTGTGCCTCGTGATGTGCACTGCGCAGATGCCAGGCAGTGCATGTGCCCACGACTGCACCTGATCCTCCACGTCGATCTCGAGATACCACGCCGAAGTTGGCTTCACCAGAACCACCTAGGTGACTATCGCGCTCCTCCGCTGAACCCCGTCGCACGAGTAACCTGGTTGACCGGGCAACTATGTCGACCAACTTCTTCTTCTTGTGCCCGTCGTCCATCCAGGTCGTTGGCCACCACCAGCCAACCTCCCAAGTCAGTTACACTGCACGTCAACCACCTCTAGGTTGACCAGACTGTCTAGGTCGGCGCCACCAGGTTGGCGCCCTCCGAGGTCGACCTCGCCAGGTTGAATTCCCTGAGCATGCGCCCTCCTAAGTCGGCGCCCCTCCCTAGTCGACGAGCCCTCCTCGTGGACCTCGGTTGAAGTCGGTTGCTGGCGTCCCAAAATTGGCGGCTTCGCAGTGGCCCCATGCAGGTCGACCAAACCCGCCGACCTGCGCGCCTAAGTCGGCGTTGCCCACTCCAGCAGGTCGGCTGCACCTCCCGCACACCCAACCACGAGGTCGACTCCGCTCAAGCGAGGACGGGGCCAACACACAACTCCCGTTGACAAATCGTGCTCCCCAACTCACCACCAACAGAGATGGCGAGGATTGAGGATCAAGTTGAAGAGAACGCCTCGACGCGCGGATCGCGCATGACCCCCGCGACCTACGCCACTCGCCCGCGAAGTGTGCACGTGAGCAGCAGCTGTGGCTCCATGGATGACCCTCCTTCCACCCCTCCTGCGCCCCGCCCTTCACCGCTTCTCTCCACTTGCGCGGCCAACAACATTGCTGCCACTACCGCCACACCTCGCCCTCCCACGGCTGCTACCGTGGTTACACCGGGTGCAGCGAGGAGTGTGGCTGTTGCACTGGGTGTGCCTGCTAGCACGTCCCCTAGTGCGTGTGCCCCCACAGCCGCAGTGCACGCGGTGGCGCAGCTGCTCTCCTCCTCGCTGCCCTCGGCCCCGCGCTTTCGCTGCCACCGCATGCCGTCCCTGCAAGGAACAGCAACCCTGCCCATGTGCTTGGGCACCATGCGCCAGGCAGCACCATCCAGGCTGCAAAGGATTATGGTCAGGTGCCAGGGAAGAACGATCAAGTGCCCAGCAGTAGTGGGAGCCTTCTGGGCGCGGCAGCAGCGAGGGAGCAGCTGATTTGCATTCTGCAGTCACCCTTGCTATAGTCACACCGCACACTTGCTGCTGGCGGGCGGGGGGGCCATGAGGGACATGTGGAGCAGCAGCTGCAATAGATGCATGAACCGCCATTCCAGTTCCTGCCTCCCAGTGCTGCTGCTAGCAACGTAGTTGCGCGTAACGTAGTTGTTGGGAACACGCAGGTGCCTCCGCCCGCGGCCGAATGGGCCTCATCACCCCAGCCACCCCTCGACGGCTCCACGCTTGCTGGATTGCTCCGCACATCGCACCCCTCTCTTCCTCCCCAACATCCACACAGCATGCTTGCTGTTGCTTCCCTATCGTCAGCCTCACCTCCCCCATGGACTATCACGAGTCTCAATTCGATGTAGAAAAAACTCATGCGTCTATAATTACAACGCTGCATGGCTCAATCCTGACTATGCCTGACTATGCCTTCCTTCCTGACTATGCCTTCCTTCCTGTCGTCGTTTGCGCTGATCATGGCTCAATCCTTGTGACTCCATGTGCCCATGTCCACGTGGCGGATATCCTTGGCTATGGCGAACGTGATGACGGAGTGTCAGAACGGCAACACCTGCTCCCAGCGCGTGGCGGTGCTGGCCTCCACCACGCGCTCTTTGTCAACCCTCGTGTCGAGCCTCTTCAGCAGCCCCAGCCCTGTACTCTACATCACATGCACCACCGCCACCCTCAAACTCACCTCGGAGGTTTGTTGAAATGAATGAACACGAATGATTGAACTAAAAGTGAAATCAGTACAAGTACCTAACCCTAGAATTGTGTACCCCCTATAGGCTAACCCACTGTAGCCTAAACAAGCACAACATATATTATGTTTGACACACCCCCATAGGCGAAGTGGGGGAGAACTAGGGGTCACAAGACCAGTCAAGTAAAGCAAAGCAAAGCAAGCTCAGGGTGGATCACAAAGTCACCACACATTCCGAGCACAAGTTCAAGGCCACAAGGCCAGTTCACATGCTGGAGTACATATATATATAAGGCTAGACAAGCAAGAGCAGGTATATATATATGTAACAGTACAAGCAAGGTCAAGAGGTGAGCAAGTGAGGCAAGACAGGTACAAGACCCAGCTGGGTGCAGAAGCGCTGATGATCACAAGGCGCAAGTGCCTTGGTGAAGACATCAGCAGTGTTGGCCTCAGAGGCCACGTACGCAAGCCGCAACTGACCACGCTGCTGTAGCTCACGAGTAAGGAAGTAGCCAAGAGCAATGTGCTTTGTTCTGTGCTCCAGTCTCTGCTCTCGACACAAGGCCAGCATGGCCTTGTTGTCTACGTACAGCACTGGAGGAGAACGAGGCGGCTCTCCAAGGTCGGTCAGCAGGTAGGTGAGACAGCGAAGCTCCTGAGCAGCCATGGCCCCTGCGTAGATCTCAGCCTCACAACTAGAGCCGAGAACAGAAGACGAGCGAGTAGCCCGCCATGAAACAGAGCCGGAACCAAGGCTGAAGGTGTAACCCTGTGACGACCGCTGCGTAGCCTGGTCGTCAGCCCAAGAAGCGTCTGCGTGACCAGTGAGGACCACTGTACTCCGCCCTCCAAGCACTAGCCCCATGCCCGACGTACTGCACAAGTAGCGCAACACCCTCTTCGCAGCATCCATGTGTTCAGGTCGATGTCTCCCAGGAGCAACATAGCGTGCGAGAATGCTAAGAGGGTATGCAAGGTCAGGTCGTGTGCAGGTCATCAGGTACATGAGGCAGCCAACAAGCTCTGGGTACGGGCCACTCGACTCTACGGACTCATCCGAAGGCAGAGCTGAGAGCGAGTGGCGAGTAGGCAGAGGAGTGGCCTGAGGCGAGGAGTATGTGAAGCCGAAGCGCTGAAGGACCTACTGCACCATGTGTGACTGAGTCAGGGTGATGGTGCGGCGTGCTCTGTCCCGGGTGATCTGCAAGCCAAGGTAGCTGCGTAGTTCACCCAGGTCTGTGCACGTGTGTCTCTTCTGCTGCTCAGACTTTACGTAGGCGAGTCCAGCAGTGTCACCTGTGGCAAAGACCAAGTCGTCGACATACACGAGGATGTAGAACGGCGGCAGTGAGGCGTCGGTGCGTAGAAACAGCGACGGGTCGGCAGTAGAGGGAGCAAACCCAAGAGCCGCAAGTGTAGTCCTCAGTGTGTCGTGCCACTCACGCGGTGCCTGGCGGACACCGTAGACTGGCCGCCGGAGGCTCCACTGGGTGCCGGGAGGAAAAGTCCAAGTGGAGCCAAGTGGGCGGCGCAGCCAGATCTCCTCGTGCAGGCTGCCCTGCAGGAAGGCAGTTCTGAATTCAAGAGAGTGTAGCTCGTAGTCACGGTGAGCAGCTACGTGCAGTAGTACCCGAAGAGTGGTCATCTTTGGGGTGGGAGAGAAGGTCTGAAAGTAGTCAACTCCCTGCCGCTGACTGAAGCCGCGAGCCACGTAACGCGCCTTGAAGACGGGCGGAGAACCCGGCGGCCGCTTCACCCTGAAAATCCACATGCCACTGACGATGTTCGCCCCAGAAGGGGGGACAGCGTCAACGTAGGTGCCCATGGACTTCCAGGAAGCCATCTCTGCATCCATAGCTGCCTGCCATTGAGAAGAGTAGGGACCCTCTATCGCCTCCGCATAAGAGCGCGGAGTCGGGATGTCAAGTGCATCCGGGTCTCCCTCAGGGGTAAGCAGTACGGACACGAGATGAGGTGAAGCAGCGGCCAAGCACTAGAACTCCTCCTGCCTGTCCTCAAGGACGTCCGTGCTAAGAGCACACTCACCCCCGACGGACGGAGGACAGACAGACTCAGACTCAACGACAAGACTAGCTGCGTAGTCTAGACGACAGCGAGCAGCAAAGTCGACGAGCTCACCAACTAGGGCAGACGCAGCAGTGGACTCAAAAGAAGGGTCAGTGACGACAGTAGCAAGGAGACGCGTGACAGTAGGACTGGCAGCACGAAGAGAGTCCGACTCCGGGTCGGGAAGAGCAGGAAGAGAGGACTCAGGAGGAGAAGGCAAAGGGGTACGCAGAGGAGCAGTGGACGGAAGCAGAGACATCCAGTGCATGCCAGGGACAAGAGGAGGACGCTGACGCGAACCGCAACCACTAGTGCGAGCAGTACGGACAGGCGACGCAGGGCAAGACGCAGGCACACGACGCTCAGCAAGACCTCCAGTAGGACCAGTGTAGGGAGAAGGAGCAGGCAGTGGGGAGGCAGGTTGTAACTGTAACCGTGACTGGACTGGCTGTGGACACTCTAAGGGAGGAGGAGGACCGAGAGAAGGCGGGAGACCAAGAACCCGCTGAAGGAGCGGAACGAAGTACGGTCGCTGCCATGCATTGACTCCAGAACTAGCAGAGACACCAGCGCCAGGGTCCTCCGCACCAGCACTAGCTCCAACGCCCGACTCCACAGCACCAGCTCCAGGGTCCTCAGCACCAGCATTAGCTCCAATGCCCGGGTCCTCAGAACCATCAGTAGCTCCAACGCCCGGGTCCTCAGCACCAGCAGCAGCACCAGCGCCCGGGTCCGCAGCACCAGGTGTAGCTCCAACGCGCGGGTCCGCAACACCAGAAACAGCTCCAACCTCTAGGGCCGCAACACCAGCAAAACCAGTAGAGTCTCCAGCACTAGTAGCACCACCAGCAGCAGTGGGGTCCGCAACACTTGGCGCGCCACTCCGAAGAGTGCAGCGCCGCTCGTACCACTCACGGATCCGCTCACGGGAGGGGAGCTCCCGGCTAGGAGGAGAAGCACTAGCACCAGTCCCAGTAGTACGCTTGGCTCCAGAGGTACCTCTCCTGAGGCTGCAGTACTCGAAGTACCACTCACGCAGCTGCTCCGAGGAGAGGGCTCCGCCAAGTGTAGGACTCTCACGCTCAGGACCTCCAGACTCAGAACCCCAAGACTCCGGACTCTGCGGCTCAGCACCCCCAGGCTCAGTACTCCCAGGCTCAGCACCCCCAGGCTCCGCACCCCAAGGCTCAGCACCCCCAGGCTCCGCACCCCCAGGCTCAGCACCCCCAGGCTCAGCACCCCCAGGCTCCGCACCTCCAGGCTCCGCACCCCCAGGCTCCGCACCCACAGCAGGACGAGAGTCGACAGCTACCTCAACACGCTCAACCGGGTCTACCTGAGACACACCTGAGGGAGCGGCACCCTGAGGGGGGAGGGCGTCTACGACAGCAGCACCTGGCGCAAGGAAGAGAGGCGAGGGGGGGAGCGGGGCAGTGCGGTAGGGGAAGAGGCGGTAGTAGGGGACGGACTCGTCAAAAGTGACGTCCTGAGAGGGCAAGACTCGGCGCGAGGTGGCGTGGTAAAACTGCCAACCAGGCACGTCCGGGACAAAGTCGAGGAAGACGCAGGGAACAGCACGGGAGGAGAGCTTGTCCGCAGACGTATCGCGGACAAAAGCTCGAGATCCCTAGACCCGGAAACGCGACGCATCGCCAACCTCCCCCGTCCACAGCAGTGTGGGCGAGGTCCTCGGCAAGGAGACACGGGGCCAGAGGTTGAGCTGATGCGCAGCGTACCGGACCGCAAACGGCCACAGAAAGTGGGGGGCAGCCGCATGGATCAACGAGGTACGGGCAACCTCCATGACCAGGCCAATGCGGCGCTCTGCAATCCCGTTCTACTGTGGAGAGGTCGGAAGGGTGAACGACTGCTCAATGCCATGCTCAGCACAGTAGGCTGCCAAGAGGTCGGAGGAGAACTCACCACCTCTGTCAGAGTGCAAGCGCAGGACAGGAAAGTCCGAGTGGAAACGCTCCCTGAGCTGAAGACGAGCTCTGCGGATCCAAGGGATCAAGACATCAGGGACCTCACCCTTGGTGCGTAAGGGGAAGACCGTGGTGTAGCGCGAGTCGTCAACAACCATCAGGAAGTACCTCTCTTGACCCTGACCACGGACGCGGGCTGGGCCCCACACGTCCATGTGGAGCGTCTGCAAGGAAGCAGTCCTCGGGGGAAACGAGGAGGAGTGAGGAGCGACGCGCTGCCGCCCCTCGAC